TCACTTTTGGCAACAAGTCACTTAGGATTCTGGCATTGTAAGTCCACAGGGTAGCTTAGCCTTCAAGCCATGCCTGTAGCTGCCAGTCCTTCTGTGCGTCGACAGCATATTCTGCCCTGCTATTATGTCTTCTTCCCTCTTCAGGGAAGACTCGAGACGTTGATTTGGCAGCAGCGGAAAGTGAACTATCCCGATTTCTATTACTGACTGCTAAAGCTTAACTCGACAGAAGAGGGACATAGCCTCCTAATGGGCGAACCTGTAACAATCCTCTTTGGCAATTACGCCAGTCCTGTATTTTTCAGGAAAACTATTAACAACTGAAGCTCCATTAGCCGTGGCCATTAGCCATCTGGAGAATTTCCTTACGGAGCTGTCTACCGTACCTGTATGAATGTGTAAGTGAAGTGAACGCACGATATCTTCTCCGCCTCTCCATCAGCTGGATAGAATTCAGATGGATGAGGCTACAGTGGAAGCAAAGTGGCAGAGAGGTAGCTTTATAATAAACCCCGTCCTTTGCTATGTGACTCAGTTTTTATCTCAGTGTTCTGACGAATAACGGTGGACATGCGCGATGTCAAGCACATTCCCCTGCCCTCCCAAAAACAGCTTCCAAACAGGATGAAACACCAAATTCAGTGGAATTACTAGGAGGGTTCAGTGGCATTGTAGCTAAATATCATCTCAGTTGCATGAAAATTTGATGTCCTTCGCCGTCGAATCATGAATGGTTTTCCTACACCACCGACTACGTTGTGATGATCAACGCTTGAGGTTGAGGGATGACGCTCTAAAAACGAGATAGGGGCTATGTAATACTTCGAGTACTTCATTAACTCTTCGCTTTGGTCTCGCGGGCACTTAAGGTCCCGCCTTTGTACTTCCACTTAGCGGCATGTCCCCCGCGTCATGCCTGTAGACCACAAGCCCTATTTTTAGTCAGCAATGCATATTCTACCCAAATATGGTGCCTTCCCTCTTCTCCAGAGAGGCCTCAAGGCGCCGCATTATATTTGATTTTCTTTGGCGTAAATTTTATCATCGACGTTCAATTTAACTATTGTATTTTCTAGCATTTGTCGGATTGATTAAATCATATATAGACATTGACAAGCAAAGAAAAATTGAGATAATAAAAGGAAATTATTAACTTTTACTGGAATCACACGTTTATACTAATGAATAATATGGCAGTAAGCACAGCTTATTGTTACCATGTGATTTGCGGACTACTTATTAAGTGATAAAAATGATCAAGTTACTAATCTGACGATAGGTAACACTTGAATTCGAGTAAAAAGGCACGCACCAAAAAGAATTCCAGCTACTTTAAGGATCACCTTCCACGGAATTAAACGATTTGATGTCCCCGTCTGCCTTGATCACTTGTAACACACTGTTCAGCACAATCCTCGGGATGGCGTTAAAAAAGTGAATTTCTGTGTTGAAAGCGAATTGGGGATTTGTCGATTTGTCTAGCATAATAAGGGTGTGAAATCTCAGTACGAACCGCTATTTTCAATTCCACGGAGAATTAAGATAACAAAAGCATTTGCATTCTTCTTTAAAAGGTAATAGACATCTGCGCATAGCATCCATTCTTTTCAGTTAAAAGTACTTTATTTTTTCCCAAAATAGCTACATTTCCATGGGGGGAGTGTTGCATCTCATTTGTGGTGTTCAAAAAGTTCACTGAATCGGTGCAGGCTTCATATCTTCCCAGAAAAGTAATGTAAACAGTGAAAGGGAAAGGTCTATTAATGGCGCAGGATGGGTATGTTTATACTGCCCAGGGTGAAATTAGTAGGATAAGACAATTCGTTAACAAAAGGCGAAAATAACCCTTTTTTAACCTGACAAGCCAACTGCTGGACACTAATCAACAGACATTCTGGCTCTGTCTCGAAATATGCGTCTTCACAATGACGCGTTTTCTCCGTTTTCAGTGAAGTAGGAGAAAAAAAATGCTCTTTTCAAGTGTTTGCAGTGAAAAGCGAAAACGCCGTCTGACCTCGCATTCTAGCCTAACTAACATTGTCCAAAATATGCACAGGAAAGTTGACAGGAACGAATGAAGACGACCTTTCTAATGTCTCTTGTCTCCCATCTCAATATAAAACATTTATTTACATTCCGACGCTTTAGCGATTTTCCTCCTCCAAAGCTAGTAAACAGTTGTCTGGTGAATGCTATCGGCTCTTAAAAGTACCCATGAAATCAAAGACCTGCACTGAGTTCCAGGATACTCAAAACGTTTTATTGCATAAACCTCAGCATTTGTCGCACTGATCCACGTTGGAATCGTAAAGCCCACCTCAATCCCTCGCACTTTACCTCCCATATCAGGGGTTTAATGCCTAGCAACGCAAGTACTGACTCTGAAATCGCCTTAACGGCGCCCGAAAGGCGTGCAAGGTGGTGAAGACCCCATGCACATAAAAGCAAACACACACGCACACACACTTTGATGAACTTGAAAGGCATGTAACCGAGTTTGCAAATTCACTACGAAGAAGAAAAGTGAATGAATAAGCAAACAATAGATCACCAAGAAAAAGGGCAGAGGCAAGGGACTGTAACACCCAACTAGCCCAAATGCACAAGCGCATGGGTAAAGTCACATCCCGACTTTCCTGATGCTGGTGAAAATGCCTCCGGCCTTGTAAAGGCCAGAAGTGGAGTGGGGAGGAGGTTAATACCACTGGGACGCAAGCGTGCCATTTCGCTAAGCTAACAACTTAGACACTGTGATAGCAGCACCTTAGAGTTTCTTTTCCTTGTGCCCTGTCTTGTCGTGATTCAATTGATACCACCTAGTTTCCTTATCGTAGCATTTGCAATTGATTCGAACTCTTGATTGTCAAAATTTTTAGACTTAATTAAGGTATCCCACGCCGTATTCACAAGGCAAGAATTTTCTTCTTTCCTTCCGTGTTACAATTGTCAGTGCAGTACCTCAGTGATCAACCCCACTTCTTGATGTTGGACAATTAAATCGAAATGGATGGCAGAGAGAGAGCGATTTTACAACGTCTAGCCTTGTTCACTGAATCTACTTAGTGGGAAGGGTAATAATTTTGACCGGGATGAATGTGTAAGTAATTTGGGGTGGGTAAATACTGACATTAAAAAATATCGAGAAAAAAATTTCCTTGCTATCTCCGATTACAAACAATTCCATTCATTAATAAAAGTGCCTTCTTATTGTGGTTGGGAGACGAATGGCAAATGAGCGTAAGTATGAGCCAAATTCTTAACAACACTTCCGTTAAAACTATTTACGACACGCTTTACCACAGCTGGTTTGCAAACGTGTCACACATTTGTGACGACAGTTGCTAAAGTAGGAAAAAGCTACCTTGACGACTTCGAATTGGAAGGATTCTAGTTTTTAAATGATATTTTGAAATAAAAGGATATTTGCTTCATTTATATGTCTCCAGTGTGCCGGTGTAGTGGTAAAACCGAGGTATCAGCATCGGGCATTTTTATCCATAGGTACATGAAATGGCGATTCGGCATATTAGCAGGGGCAGACTGTGCACTAAAATCGCGAGAAAGCCAGAACCAGCGATCGGGTGAGATTTTTGCTTGACCACGAATCCCAAAACTGATAAAAATCTGGAGGTCGAGGCATGGCCTATCCGTAAGCGCCAAATCGGATGGCGATTCGGCTGCGGTTTGAAACTTTGATACTAGCGGCAAAGATTAAAGGCTTGAGCGACCAGGCCTGCTTCCGCTGTCAGGCCTAGGAGTTAGTGTCCACAGGTGATTCACCAAACGTAAATATAAACGTGTGTGCACGTCTGAGTGACGTAGATACCTGCCAATGACAGAGGCAGACACGTAATCTGTGGCATCTTCGTGGTCATTTTCAACCTGATTAATCGGTTGTACCCTTGTAAAGCACACTTACTTTGTTTTTCATTTCAAATGTCAATCAGTAGTCATTTTTCAGTCATCAGTCTATTTTCTTTACCCCCGCGAAAACAGACAACCGCGATTTTATTCCAGTCTGCCAGCATTGTGTTCCTCAAATTACCTCCAGCTTTTTGTCTGGTGCAAAAGTCATTTCTGGGTCATGGCGGATTATCGGCAGACTTTTTATTGCAATCCCAAAAAAGGCATGTGAAACCTCGATGTGGGACAATGATTAATTTCAGACACCAGTTCTGCATCCTACATCTGCAATTGGTGGGAAATTTTGCTTCCTCCCCTGCGATTTGGCCCAGCTTTACGCTACCTCCAAATTTTTATCCTTAAAATGTTAAATTTACTACCTGATCAACTTTTAAACACTCGGCACACAATAACAACTAAGCTGTCGCGTTTTTATCCAGTCATTTTCTCTAAACCGGACGAATTCGCCATTTAAAACGGTTGGAATTGGGCGGTAATCGCCATCTAGACATGCCTGGACTTGCTATTACCCAACTGTTGGACATAGTCAAGACCTCCAATGAGGGTCATTGCATGGTTCCAAACATCAGTGGGAGACGTCCAAGATTGGCATCCCTTCTGTTTCATTCAAAAGATGACCAGATCCAGTTGGGAAGTTGTTCGGACAACCACCCGAATCTGTATCGCTTTGCATTACTCTTTTACTATTGCAGCAGTTACTTGCGTGTTTGTGTGAACATGTGGTTCAGTGGATAAATAAGGCGGCAAGGGATGGTGTATTCTTAAAGTTCGCTCCAACCCCCTCCACTTGAGTACTTTAAAGGCACTTAATTCCGTATCTCATTCAGTGTTGATTTCCATGCAAATGAGACCACACCCCCATTGGCTCACCACACAGCCGCCACATGCACCAGCGACCTTGAATGGCAATTGGGCGAGTTCACACACAACCAATTAGCGTTCAATAGGCAGCGCGTGTAAGACACATCGACGGGTCGTCATTCCACCCGGAGCGAAACACTTTCCTTTATCCACGGTCCCGTGTCAGCATGGAAAGTGGTGTTGCGAATCGCATCCATCGAACATGTCCCTCCAACATGTCGACCACAGAGACAGCAGTCTACTTTTTCCGCGCTTACATCACTCCGACTCTTCTGAGTATCGGAATTCCCTCGAACCTCTTTGTCTTCATCGTATTTGTTCGACTGCAAAAACGCCAACCTTGTAGATTTAATATCTACGTAATGTACCTGGCTATAGCGCATATATTTCAATGTGTTGGTGAGTCGTTGTTGGATCACTTTATTGGTCGTGGACTCTGGTTCGCCTCTGGTTGTACCATCGACTTTAAACTCGACACTCAATCACTCTTCGCATGCAAATTTGTCTCCTATTTGCCGACAGCAACAGAGTTACTTGCAGCAGTCACTCTAGTCTCCTTCACAATCGACAGAACCGTCACCATCTACCGTCCAATCCATTCTCGTGGTGACATTCACCTAAATTATGCTCGTCTGGGGCTGCTGCTCGCTTTTTTCTTCACTTTCGTCTCATTCATCCCTGCCGCGATCTACTATACACTGGAACGCGCACCCGACGGTAGATTACGATGTGCTCTTGTGGAACCCACCTCACCTGGACCACGATATGTCATTCTTATGTCTGTCATCTGCTCCTACACCGCGCCCACCATCACCATCCTCGTTCTCAATGTCCTCATCTGCCACAAACTCAAGCACCTTATCCGCAGCGGTGGTATCAAATCAACCACCTCGTATAAACACAAACTCGAGAGACGTCGCATCCTCGGTCACCTGGGCGTCTGCTCATTCTTCCTCTGTCTGTCGATTCCGCTCGTGATTTGTATGGCCCTGCGTCAGTACTCCGACGCCAAAAACTACTCCGAAACCGCAAAGGAGTTCCACAAGGAGATTGTCCAACTCACCAAGTTCTTCAGCTCCTTCACTGCTATACAATACTCCACAGATATTATCATTTACTTCGTATTCTTGCCCAATGCGCGTTCAGAGGCTCTACGTCTACTTTGCGGCTGTGAGCGGCTCCAGAGGTTCAGTCTAGTTCGCCGAATTTACACGAAACATGTGAAGGATAGTTTGCAGGAACGACGCTTGAAGATGTCTACTGTAATGACTCGTATGCACGACCCTAGAGGCAATGACAGAGGACGCTCCCCGTCCAACGAGTCGGCGTCCAGCACTTCCGAAGTACCCAAATGAGGACTGCTTGTGCGAAAAGCGAAAGGAGGTAAGAAGGGATGACAGACATTCCATGAAGTTAATACAAGGGTGATCACATTAGTTTCGCTTACTGTCCCATGCATTTTATGTTATTCCACCTCCACCAGTACTCAAGAATGTTTCCTGCTGTAAAAACCTGTACTCTCTTCGTGTTTTACCAGGTAATCTCTATTTTTATATAAAACAGGCCACTTTACGCTTCAAATTTTTATGTGAAGCTTGTGGGTCTTTCTTCTGCTACCAGGACAAGAAAGAGAGGAGTGTAAAAGTATGTCTTTGTACGCAGTGAATTAAGATAAAGCCCAACACCAGTAATGCTATTCAGTGCTTACGTCATTGCCTCTGGATGACCACCTCTTTGCCAATAATGTGACACCATTAAGCCTTCAATCCGCCATTTTAGCAAGGTTTTTTTTTTCGCGATTGTCTTTAAATTTATTGTAGGATTTAGCAAAAGAAATCTTAATTTCACCTGTCTCAGTGCGGTACCAAAATTGGCGATTTTGCACCGAGGTGGCGGCCCACAGCAGAATTACTGATAATTTAGGCTACAGTCTGCGAGTGATTGACCCCACACTTCTACCTCCTAATAAGAACTAAAGACACAAAATAAATCATATTCTTAAGAAGTTTTTAATTATGAGTGATAGCTTAATATAGGCATAATGAACACTGGCACAAAGCAGTGTTTTGGCGGCATATTTGCCATTTAATCAATCGAGATGAAAAAAAAGAAGATTTGTGGAGCAGCATAATAATTCGACCGGAGTCATCACTTATCTCCTTCGGCTTTCCATATGAATTCTTGGCAAATGCTTTCGTTAAAAACGTTTTTATGTTGAAATTATGATCACTAATGTAGAACCCCGTCTGACGCCTTTTGGTACTTCAAGTTTAACCTTTACGTCTAGTCTCTAGGACTGCACACGAATTTCAGTGTATTCCACACATTGCAATAAAATGAGACGCTCAATCCACATTTGTGCGGACTGGATGTGAAATTCAGACCATATCGAAAACACTGGTCTTAATACACTTTGGTGGTATGTTATGGAGAGTAAGTAACTTGAATATTTTTGAGGCCTTAATGGTTAAAATCTTAACAATTTTATAAGCGGCATCCTTCGGATAACACTTCTACAAAGTGAATCAGTTGAATTGCAATTTATCAGTCACAGTCAAGTAAATATACACAAGACATTAGTAGGAAACATGTATTCAGTATACAAAAGTTGCTGCATGGTAAAATTACGCCAAATTCTCAAAAAGGATTCTTTGGTTTAATGGGGAATGTGAAAACGCCAAATTTTTACTGAAAAAATTTACCAAAAAGAGTCATTTGCGACGAAGAGTGAGGGCCAGACGCAACTGTTAACAACTGGCTGTGCGTAGGGAGGAATACACCTCAAAGGGGTTCGGTCGTTCACATGCCAGCACGTTCAGGTAGGGAGTCGGCTGGTCATAGCCTGGTTGCCGCATCCAAAAGTATACCTACAGCACAGCAGCATGATCTGCTTTCTTCTCTCAAAAGCTTTGAGTATCATATTTACCAGAAAATGTACTTAAATACCGATTTGGTTTTGGGATTAAAATATGCTTCATAGTAAAAGATTCACTTTAAGGAAATATTTATGATAAGGAAGCGTGAACTCGTTCAAAATTTTGTATTTGTGCGGGAAAGGACCAGTTGCTTGCTAAGCCCAAGCGTGTCATAAGGTCCGCCCTGTCCAGAGACCCGGTTTGGCAGCTATAGTTGCCACCCGGGAACTTTCACAAATGAAGCTCTCAAGGAGATGTACATGTGTTAAGGGCAAAAATGAATCTCCATCAGCATATGCAATCAGTTTGTAGATAAAGCCTTCCTTCGTAAAGAATCGTACCGATTTGAGACACGCAAAACGTACCGAACGCCTAGGCAACTGTAGACACAAACTAAAGCTTTTATTGAAGAGGATGCAGGAGAGCCGACAGATGAATTCATGACACCTCTATGTGCTGTCGAGTGTGCGGACAAACGCTAGTTAAAAACACAGGTGACCTGAACAGGCTGGAATAGCTGCATGACATACGAATGGGAATAAGTAGAAGTTTATGGTAATTTGACATATGACGGGTTCGTCAACTACCCCAACACAAACTACCTAATGGATAGGGTGATAAACATTTTTGCTTAAATTAGTAGTAAAATCTAAATCGTTTAAGTTTTTGTGACATTCTGTATTCCTACCTTGTATCTGTTGAGCAATAATTTCCACTTCAGTCGTCCCCGATCAGTTGGCGAGAGTTGAAGAAAATCTTTGGCTTGCATTTCGAAAATTTTTTCCATAGCTGAATTAGTAAACATGCATCTGGTGTAGGTTCCAGTGTGATCGGAGAGATTTAAAAAAACGTTGTACTCCAACTAAAATTGAAAATGGAAATGGGAAAGTAACCAAGATAGCTAAAGTTTGTTCAAGTGATCGTAGCGACACACCTCTTAATAGTTAGGAAACTAATGACAACAAAATATTAGCTAACAAATCTGCCTGTGTACATAACAAAATTTGTTGAAACTAGTCTACAATTTAAGAGGTAAAATAAGTCGCTGGAGTATCATCTCCTCCTCCTGTGCATTCCGTGGTCTCTAGCTATCGGATCCACTTTTGGTCTCTGTCGTCTTATCTAGTGGAGGAAAAGGCGAGTTTAGGCTGACAAATTAACACTGTGACGTGGTCCTCAGAACACACTCATACAACACGAATTTAAACAGCCTACGCAAGGCACTTGTTATTTTATTTTGCGGTGGCAACACGTGGCATATGGACGTCCGTAAACTATAGCGATTTGGTCCGCACGCACTTTCAGCTTCCTCTTATGGAAGCGTCGCTGATTTGGGCAAATTGCTGTTGAGGCTGACCTTGAAGAGCACTTCCCAGCAGCCCAGTTTGCCTTTTGATCAAATCGCCTTTTTTTGCCAATCGCCGACACATCAAACTGGACGAACACATCTGGCAACCCAATGGCCGCACTGGAGAGACTGATGGAATGAAGCGATAATTACGTCAAACAAGTTCTACAGTCTGGGTCGTTAACTTTAGCCTTTTTTACTATGATCCTGCTCACTTCCTATTGGCGTGGCTTCAGGCTGTGCTGCTTGCTAGCAAATGGGTAGTGCAACTCATGAGGGGGGTCTCACAATTAATCTACTTTGAAATAAAGAGGTAAAAATGTCGCGAAGCGATGATACTAATTAATTAAATTCACCTATTTGGGTCAAATGATAGCTGAAAGTTGAAGCGACGTCCAACAAATTAAGGAGATGCACAATTGCATTCAAAATACAAACCACACTGTGGTCATGGCACATCTCCTGACCGATTAGTAGTTCGATTGAAAACCTACGTGCATACTTTTACTTCGAGTAGTTTGTTTACCGCAATGCCGCGATAGATGCTAAACTTGATAAACAAGCGCTTGTCGAAACAAATCCTTGCCTATCCAATGCTAACATTAATGTAAAAGTCCCCGAGGAGTAGGTCAGGCCATAAGAAACCTAAAACCAACACGAGTTTTGGGGGTAAAAATACAATATGTTTTGTTATCAAAAAATATTTAATTCGCATACCTTAAAATCCTCCATGCTTTTCCATACGACCTCAGCGTTCGGATAATAAGCGATTAAACAGGAAGGAAGTTGTTTAAGGAGATACGTGAAAATGGAGAAGAGAGTATAACTACAGTAAATGGGTTTTCTCATAAAGTTGGCCCTGTGATTAGGGTAGCTGCACACCTGCAGAACACATTACCACGCACCTGGCCCAGCGACCAGTGCTTCCCAGATGACAAGACAACCGCTGATACCGCTTCCAATAGTACAGCTGCTCTTGACTGAATAAATGTCCACATATTGCGTCTCCCCAATCCCCCCCTTGTCCCACTTTATCAAAACCAATTAGGAGGTAATAATACCTCGCATTACCAACGGTACCGCGATGCTGCGTGAACGTAGTGGGGGAAAGGTTTGTTTGTTATTTTTAAACCAAACACTGAAGTAACGGATTGACTGAAGATACTGGCCATTCATAATTATTTTCAAATACAATTTTACAAGGATATTAGATAGGACCGAATATTAAGACCGAATTATTAATTAATGCACTACGACTGCATTGACTAACTTAAATGGCACCTTTCTGAGGATGAGATGCCGATGCGAGATAGGTTTTGCAGGTTGCACGTAACATCCAATGCAAATGGACTATTACTTCAATGCAACAAAGATAGTATTTAAAAAGTTAAACGAATAAAACGGTTTGTTTTGAATAAACCTACATCCCTGTTCCCAAACCAAAAATAATAGCAATCGGTTTTAAATTCGCTTCATTTTCTATCTGGGCTTATGACAAGAAATGTAACCAGTAAAGTGATTCGCTTTTCTGCTCTGTGAAGCCAATAAATAACACACGAAAACGGGATAATGGCCTCGCTAGACCAGGTATCAAGTTGTTTTCAACAATTTGAAACTGTAGAATAAACGTATCCATATTCATTTCTCCTCAGTACATCCGGTTAAGTTCCTCACTTGACAAAATCTAAATTAACTGCTATTCCACCCATGCTGGCAAACGCCGCAGACTTCAGTTAATTGGACTTACCGCTCCCTATTTTTTTACCTAGCCCCACCAAAACTAATTTCTTTCCAATATTTAAGGTTTTTTATTATTCTTTGATTGGCTCTAAGTATCATCGACAATTTAACATAAACTTTCAACCATGCCATAAGTTTTGTAACCATAAAATCGTAACCCCATACACCTGACGCTCCTGCAAGGAACTTGACATCATTTGGCGACTTAACCACAGCCCGGTTTTTATTGAATTTTGGGATATTTACTCAAATGTTAGCCATCGCACTTTATAAAAATATATGGGTTGTTGTCATTATGTCTTTACAATTAGGAAATACACCAACACTTGTTTTGTCGGAGAGTGATTGTTATGAGGTTACGCGTCGGGCTTTTTAGACAGCCCTTTCAAAGCACTGCTGCCACCCACTGTTAACATTCCAAAATGGCACCTATCTGCACTTTATCAATGTGAAGCGAGTAATTTGCAAAATTACCAAACCCACTCGTATAAATTCAGCCAGCATGGACTTTAACGTGGGCATGAATGTTACTAGTTTGAGAAAAAATAACAATTCGGGGAGTTTGATACTTTACTGAAATTGGCATGGGAGTGAGTTGTCTGGGAGTTACCCAATCGGTTCTCTCCCTCTTACTCTGTCTTTAATTATGGGAATTTCAAAGAGGAAGCTAAGTTTGATGATGAGGACTTTCAGTTTCCAAAGTTGATTAAAAGCACATATAAAAGGGATGCTGCCGTGGCGGTATGAAACGCAGTAAAAAGCAGAGTGTCCTACCATTAATAGCTGATGCACGTCATGGCCTGGTTCACACTGCACATAAAGGTTGCAGCGCTTAGTGATTAATTTTCTTGCAGGGAAAGAGGGAAATCCGCGGATATTTATTCATGCGGGAGAATTCAAACGCAGTACGGGGATGACACATTTCACAGCTTAGCAGTAAGATGGCTGAATCATATAAACACTTCAAGAATGGCAATACCTCTTCAAGTTAAAAAAAGTAACCATAATGGTTTCTTTTCTGGGCACCGCCACAGCATTCAAGGTTAAAAGATTCAACCGATGCGCGGAATGCCTAATCCCGGACGTCTGATCGACACCTATCTTGAATTTGCAGAAGTAAATCTTTCTGCAGGATAGCGGATCACGATCAATTTATTGCCAACCCTTGTAAGTTAAAATGGTAGTTTTCTGCGATATCGACAAATCTATCTGAGTGCAAGGAATAAGTCCAGTTTCCGATTCTTAAAATTTGCTCATGAACTCAAAATTCACGGTCTAACTCGAAAGTGTCTCGTACGAGCCGGGTAGAGGTGAAAGGAAGTTAACTCACCAGAACGTGATTGGAGTCCGAAGGCTCGAAGCGCTGGCCTGAGAGAGGACAGTCAGGTGTGAGGCAGGTGAACAAAGAAGACGGTGGGGAGACGCGAGGTGCGCCCTCACTACCATCGTTCTTTCCCTCGCAGGCCTGCATCCGACGCTGACAGTTGGAACAGGAGAGACGAACGAGGCGAATGACGTCATCGATGTCTAGTGAAAGCTTCGTAAGCATGGCGAAAACAATGCCAAATCCAGAGCTTACTGTAAGATGGTAAAACGAGGAAAAATAGAATTTGTTCGACAAAATTATGCGCATTTATAGGTCTCATCAGACTCGGATGCTAATTATGTCTACTGCGTGTCCATTGTAAAAATTATCGTTGTGATACAACCTGTGTGCATGCACTTTTGAGGTTCCGCGCTTTCTAATGCACCAAGTTCTGGTGAGTCAGATGGTCCTGCTAAAAAGTCCCAAAAACAAACACTGACCACCTATCATTTGCATCTTGTCATGGACTAAAGGGACAGATGTATTCTGCGCAGTTACGCCAGTCATAGAGGGCAGGCAGGTAGGCAGGCAAGAATGCGACAAAAATTCGGCAAATTAGTTTCCTATAGCCAACGGATGATGGCGCCGGTTGTTTTACATATTTGTTGTTCTGTATACTTGAGAATCAGCCGCAGTTTCCTCTCCTGCAGAATTAGGGGGAAATTTCTTTCAACCAGATTGACGTGTTAAAGGGGTTTCTTGCAAATCAGGCCTTCCCCACATGAGACGCCACTTTCCGTAAAAAGTGTGCATTAGGCTGAACAGGCACGTGATAGCACCTGTGTGGTATTTTACCCCGTCCAAATGACAAAATGCACAGAACGGTGTACAGTTGAGTACTTGTCTTTGAAAAAAGTGTGCAATCTTAACTTTTCGAATAAATGGGCTAGAGAACCAAGAATCTAAGCTCCAGTTTATCGATGCGAAAATTGGCCAGTCGTATTTCCAAGCGAGTGGATGTACCAAACACTGAAAAAGCGGAATCCATATGCAAATGGAACTTGTGCCGCCAAAACAAAGTAATGGTAGAAATGAGTGAATATTCTGCGGCACTAATTATGCACTTTTTGGAATCATAAAAGGTATAAAGGCGGAAAAATAAAGCTAGACATATAGCCGAGCCTATCTCCTCAAACGACCATTCGTTCAATCGTCTCTTTATTACCTTGTACTTTTGATATCCAGTTAATAATTGTAGTGTGGACAATTGGGGGATAGTTACCAAAGTAGTCACGAGGTGTTCGACGATTAGTGGATTACGTTGAATGAAAGTATTTGGGTAGGGGTCAAATATGTACCACTATCATACACATCTGTGACATCTGCCTCACATATATGAATAAGTGTATGATGTAATTGAATTGAATCAGTAGTAAGTCATGCGTACCTTTGCCATTCAAAATATCCTCAATTGTTCTGACTGTGTGTATTCCGTCCAGTGAAACGTGCTCTATCTAAAATGAAATTCCATTGTTTAGCCAAGCCACTTTCGCACAATACTTCAGTTCAATATTTACCCAGTCCACCACTTATTGTGTTGCACCTCTTTCAGGCCGCTGGCGTTGCTCCATAATGAAAGCTAATTCCAATTTTATGATAGCATTTGAAGGAATTAAACGCATGCATTATTCAATTGAGGGAATTCATCGCGGGTTCTAAGTGTATTCCAGCCAGAAAAATTCATTGACTACTAGTTATTGTGAATTTATCAAATTGTGCACCATCTTGCTAACTTAAAGTCACGAAATTTAAATCACATTTTTATGGGATTACCAGTATTTCGGTTTCAGTATTCCATGCATATCCATCTCCATAAGAGGTACAGTTTATTTGCCTCTAAAAGCCCAAACCAGCTGTTTAATCTTTTCGAATAATTGCAAGCTCTATGCATTGTCGTGTATTGTTTTTCCGTACTACTTTGCAATAAATCGCATAACTTTTCAACTGGAGTAACAAATCAGGGCCTAAATGCAAGAATTTCCCTGCTTGTTTGGCAGCTTAACAACTCCCTGCATTTCTTCAGAAAGGGCACAAATCTCCTTTTATGGACATTACGACAGTCTTTTAAACCATGTCTTCTGCAAAGTAGGTCTTTTATTAAGCGCCACCATAAAGGGGAACATATTGAAAGCGTCGCTTGATTGTCAGACGATGAAAGGCAAAAGGGGGAGGAAGCATTATAAGACATAGAGTTATCTAGGACTGCGAACGTAAAGTAATCGAGCCTGAGTTTTCCAAGGGTAATAAATTCAACTTATGGCTAAGTAGGGTCCCTTCAGCCTAGCATACGTAAATTCGCCTCAGCACTTTTTGAATCTAAACTGTTCAGTAGATAGACTTAATGTTTTTATCAATTATTCACAGAGTGGAGGTTGCAATGTAATTAAAAGTGCCCAAAGCAGATTCTCTAGAGCACTTTCCCTACACAACACAGAAAGCCCAATTCTGTCATTTGTTGAAGCCAAAACTAGTCATCTAATGTCAATACTAACCGTTTCAAGTCTAGTTTTCCTTGCTTTGACACGACTCTTCATCTTTTGTAAATAGTTGCTATTTTCCAGAGATGTATGAAGTAATTCATCGCATAGCATCTCAATGCTATTTTTTTATAAATGCATACTGATTGCTATTTGCCCATTTGTTTTAAATTATTAAATTCAGTGTATTGTGAAACATAAATAGCTTTTCATTTTGCCCGGAAAACGATAAATTTGCCTGCTGCTTAACCGGAAGTTTGGGTGCTATATCAGCCAGCCCTCTAAATATCTAGCTAGTCAGTTGTGGGAGTGATTCGTGAGAAAAATAGACGCGACGGTCTGGGTTACTGAATTGGAAAATTGTGATACTTTCACCAAAAGACACCTCAGGAGGAACACGACCAAAAGTGAGAGGCAGGGGTTGGGCAAAGTGCTGGCCGAGGGCATCGGTGTAGGAAGCGCCAGTAACGGGGAACCAGCCGGAGTACTTGGCATACTGCGCCAACCGGGTGGCTTCCTCGCACGAGGGCATCGTGATGATGCCCGTTCGGTCGTTGGGCACTGCCACCACTCCACGGCGAAAAGCGTCGTAGCGTACTGGACAGTCGACTATGGAGAGTACCGTCACCTACAATTCCAAACTGATGTGCACGCATGCATGTGTATATCAGCAGAATTTTTTTACATGCACAATTAAGGAGGTCCTTCCCACCCGCCGCAATTCTTCTTATAACGTCTATAGTGACAGCAAGCTCCAATCTAGATTTTTAAACTTATCACGTACTTTACTGACGACAATATTATAGGGGTTTTTTCAATTCTTCATAATTCGGCCTTAACGTCGTTGATTAGGGTACCCACTGACGCCATCTATGTTTTTAATCCTTCCGTCAATTTACGGTAAAAAGTTATTTCCAAACCCTTGTGCTTAAAAGCTTATTCAGAAGTAACCGGAGAACTTCAATGTTGCCACTACGATGAAATGTGCACGACGTATTCCACTTCTTTTAGCGTGCTTTGAAGAGGGTTTACTGCCATTGTACATAAAAGGAGCACTGCGAATGACTAAGTCTTCCAGTGATCTAACAGGTAAGTTTTTAAAACACGTCATTTTTAGTCGATGCTATTATTTCAGATTTTGCATCACAAAAACAATGAAGTGGTACAAAAATGAACAAGTCGAAGACGTCCAAAAATGAACTCTTTTTCAATGTTAATGTAAGACAGTGACACGTGACCAAAGTCTGTGTTTCAAGATACTTACAATAACCCTGACAGATGACTAAGTAGCGTTTGAAAGGGACAAATGTAATCAGAATGAAATCAGGACGTATCGTCGGGAATCTGCTTTCTCTTTAACGTCTCAATAAAGAGTTTGCTTTCAGGCGAGCGTTCCTGTGAAAGCGAGCCAAATTAAGTAGTGTATCCACTGTAAAATTTCGTCTACCCCGAAGCATTTCTTAAATAAATTCCTTTAAATCAGTTTGTTTGCAGGAGACGGGAGGGATAAAGATAAGCATAACTTGAGTGGAGTAGGGAAACAATGGCATAATTACTTGTTTCTGCCCCCTAGTTGGTTTAAGTCTGCCGAAATTCTACCGGGGTAGGAAGTTAGTGAAGCAATCAAAAGCACGATTGTACCTGGTTGGCAAGACTATGTTTAGCACACTTATGTACACGGTCCTCACCTATGCTTCTCCCTTATAAACGTGATAAAAGCTGCTTTTAGAGGTGTTTTAACCAGATAGTACCAACAAAACAAAATATACTATCATCCTGAAAATGCAAATAAATTTACTGAATTTTGGTAGATCCTGAAAGATTATCATGTCTTTTTTAGATCCCTGTTGGGTATTTTGCAGACTAGTCAGTTACTACATATTCATTCATAAAAAAGGGAAAAAACATTATCAAATTGATGGTACGAAAGGTATGGCAAGTTATTTCCTTGATCTGAACAAAAAAACTGCTAAATAAATTCATGAATACACAGACATTACTAGTCAAGCTTTAAATACTGTCCTGAGCTAAAGCAGTTACTACTTAGACACCACAATTTGCCAATTTTTGTGAATTCTTCGCAATCCCAATTCAGACTTTCACGAGGTCATTTTTTGCCTTCTGAACCGAGACCTTCAATCATTCGCTATAACAAAAACTGGCACTTTTTGTCTGTAATTCATTTGTTAACGCCTGGTTGGGCATGCAAAAATTTGAACAACACAGAAGCTTATGAATGAATTTATTTTCATTTCATCAAATGACGTGATACAACATCGATATATTGCCTACCCAATTCTCAGTGGAAAGATAACAGCTGGTAACTAACACATAGACAACGATTGGATGGTTCGCGTTAAAACACTGTCAATTTCGATGGTTAATACATTTGACCATCTGCATTAAACATTTTTTGCAGAATTGAAACCGCAAGTGCGTTAAACGCATAGATACGAAAGGCTGATTGGCATAATTTATCATAACCACAAAACTTATATTCTGTAAAAGAGGACTGTAGAGAATGACTTCCGCAACCGGTATAATTGGATACAACTTCGGGTCTAAAGTAATTTTTACGAAAATTGACCGAGGCCATTGTTGTTATTGTTATATAAACAATATTTCTTAAAGTCCAGGTTGCTTGTATTGCTTGCGTGGCTGAAATCCCTACTTACAGTGTGTATCTCCTTCACTTAGAAAAGACTAAATACTGGATAATACAATGATGAAGGTCCCAATTCAGCAATCAGTCTACCCGCTTGGGTCTGTTTGTTAGAGACCTTTATGGGGTGAATTCAAAAACGAGCTAGTTTACTATGCTTGCGGGTATGCGTATTTAAAGGGTTAGCCCATCTCTCCAGTGCAGCAACTTCATTCAATCAATCCCAGCACAATTTTGACGTGTTATTCGATGTACATAAAAAATAAATCATAGTTTTTTTAAGGACAAGAATTTTAACCCAAGATGGGGCAATAAATATCCAAAGTAATTTCAGTGTGGCAGTAAACCCCTAAAAAGTAAATCTGGTCCCCCCATTTACCATATCATCAAAGAGGGTTTTCTGACTGTGAATTAAATGCTTTTTTTGGTAAATTATCTGTAAATTAGGCCTTTACATATAGCATTTTAGCGATTCATTGAAAAAAAATCAAAAATGAGCTATTACAAGTGTTTTTTCCTTGCACAATGAAATTTCGTAATGAATTAAGCGATTTTTTAACAGCCATTCTCAAAAATGGGAATATTATGGAGAGATTAGGCGAGAGATGCAAAGATACCGAATTCCAAATAGTCTATTTCTAACTATTATCACTTTGTTTGTTTGAAGGCTACTTTTAGTTTTTCCTCAGTGGATGCAAGTTGGCTCTCATAAGACGCTTTCTAGGATATAAAAGCCCGTAAGCCGAAATAATATGGCATACGGGTGCACGTAATATAATCAAAATTTATGCTAAAGTAGCGTGATGGGAAATTACTACCACATAAAACTTGGCCTGAAGAATAAAAAGAATTCCAAAATCAGTTGTCCCAAGCTTCAAACTGATTTGTCATTTTAGTGAGTTCCGTTATTTTGCCCCAAGTAGTCTGTGTCGCATAAATGAGGGTGCTCTTAAGCGTGCCTTATGTGAAATCACACTCGTTGCATTAACTCTTCAAACAAATCGCCAGGATTTTAGTGCATTCCTCTACACTTTAGGAGAACAATATGGCAAATAGACGCATTTTCCAAGAACTGACTGTGATAAGCCTAAAATGATGAAAAACCATAGTTTGGCCCTATGGCCGCACTCCATTAAGAAAAATTTCATGGATGCATCACCACACCCATTCGTACCTGATTTTTTGGTGCTGCTATTTGACAAGTGGCATAAAGAAGTGATTGATAGCTCATTTCCTCACTTTTGCATAACCCCATAATTTCATTACTGGCCTAAGTTACCCGCATTTTAAAACTCAAAAAGGATTGCGAATCAAGTACTTTTGTCAGTAATTTTGCGTGATAAAATGATGCCTTGGATTAGCCACAGTAAATTTGCTTAAATATTCCATAAATCGGTCATTCACATAAATCCATCTTGCTTTTATTCAAAGGAACCAAATAGATCAATAAGAGTCAAGAATGAAATTCACAACTAGAGGAAACAATAATATAGAGATTTGTTGATTCTACAGTCTCAGATTCTGAGAAATCTATTTTGGCAATTTGATTCCCTATAATGCAATAAAATACAGAACTTGTTCCTACATAGATAATTTGTTACTTACTCTTGGCTTCCAGAACTTTAAGGCAAACATTATAAGATCCTCATTCCATAAAATCATAGGGAAGTGTCCACAGGACTCATCAATAAGAGTGATTTCGCACTTGCGCAGCACTCGCTGGTAGCTCCTTTCCTCATCAGTGCTGAAGGTCCGGGTCCTGTTTGTGAGTTCGGAAGGTGTAAACTTTTGGGGTGGTCTGTTTAGCACCACCGACTTTATTTCGCCCACGTCCATGATGGCTGCAAAGAAGGTAAATAGCTGCACAGATTGCTTAGCTGATTGAGTAAGGGCGGTGAAAGAGTTCAAGTGCTGTGATTGTGTATTTCCGATGGGAGCGTTATCAGCATAGGTGCACTGGATTACTTGTTTCAACGTGAGATGATACTTCGCAGGACAAAGTAATTCAGTCTGAAGTGTGATTAAATAAAACTTTTATTTAAGCAAATATAGTACCTATTTAATTTCAAATAAAATTTTTGTTCGACTTCTTCAGCAGTTGTATTCAAAATAAGCAGCAAAACACTAAACAAGCATACTTCTAAAGACAATCACATAGAGAGCAATTTCAATTGATTTCTTAAATTAGCACTTAAATAACCTTGCTGTTCTAGTTCGCACTCCGTACGCGAATACCTGTTTCTACTCAATGTAAGAATGGAATCACTACAGATAGAGATTCAAATCTAAATAGAGAAATTACTTAGGTTGTTTTCACAACAGTGCTGCTTTGCTTATCCACACGTGCATCTGTAGCTTTAGCTTTAGATATTATATATTGATGTCAAAACGCAAATTCTAACTAGCCCAAAATATTTACATAATAACCACCAGTTTTGCTTTCTCTACGTCATCACTAAGGCAGATTAGTAATTACTATCTATTTCAGCATTGCACCTGTAGTTTTTAAGTGCATAAATGTGAGTTGTAGAATGGATTCGAATGAGAAGTTTACTTGAAGTTTGTTAATTTGAACCTTGTTATTGCAACTGTAAGGCAAAACCCGCGAACGGCCTTCATTAAGTAAAACGGAATACTTTGATGGTGTTTGAATCATGCAAATATCTTCATATGATCCTTCATTGATAACTTTTGCTTGCCCGTGCAGCACTAGGACCACATCGCCTGATAAAATGCATTTTCGATGATGCATTACTTACCTATTGAAAAACTCGCTGAAATTTCACCTGAAGATTTAAATGTTCCCCAATAGTTTATATTTATCCATGATGACACATTATCTCGTAAAACGAATGAAAAAACGCCTCGAGAGGGCTGCTGGCCATCCTTGCTTTCAACACGTCTTACACTGGACTTATGAAGTACAATCCCAAGAAGATTTATTTTTTGACCATCTTGATTAATGCTAGCTATAGTAAGTATTTTTTCGTTCATTGAAGGTTGGCGGTCATAGCCATCACCCATATCTTAATTTACAATGTGATATCGCGTGTGTAAATAACGGGGGCGTTTAAATGGCCCGGACAATTAGTATAACACAAAACAAAAATAGATTGATAATCATTCAACATGCTAAAACTGAGCGACCACAGCCCTAAACACAAAACCTAAACTGTTTAATATTTATGTAGCTGTTGTAGCTGTTTAAGCGTGCGGCCGTTACACAAACTTAAAAATGCGCTCTTTAGTAAAATTAAACACTTTGGTTTAGGGTTTATTTTAAAGAGATGTGTTAACTTTTGGCAAAAAACAATCAAGGGTAAGAGAGAATTCAAGCCAAGGGTTGGTGTTCACTGAACGCTTTTCGCCTGAAATATATTTCAAGGAATCTCTACTGCAGAAGTCCTCGTCTTCTTGAGTGCCGCCCTCGGTGCTGCCCTTGTGAGCCGCCTCTAGATATGCAATTTGCGGTGGTCTTCTTTCGTACATTAAGGCTCAGATTTCATTGTCGTATCATGCCTGCGGTGCATTGCTACCACATTCCTTGTTTATCTCCTCTTCCCTGGACTACATACTCCTAGAACGAAGAGGATGATTTGGTTGAGACAATTTGTAATACTTAAGTTGTATAAATGGTCCTTTCAAAAAAGAGGCGGGTAGACAAATCCAACCCCGTGACTGAGATGCGGTCAACATCTCCCAAGCCAGAGAAAAGTCCCGTGTCCAAATCTTTCTGTAATACAATGTTTGTTTGTCTCTCGGTATTGGCGAGGATCCACTTTTGACTTGATCTTTGTATAATGCTGGATCTGGCCAAGGAAACCGTAGAACGCATTAGTGATGTGCTAAACGTTGAGGTCATCGGAAGTGGTGTGGCTGGGGAAGCACTTGTCGGCACCTACACCTGCTTGACCAATCACAGTGGTCTCGTACACTCACAAACCAGCCTAGAGGAGCTTGATCAACTGGGTAGCCTGCTGCAACTTCTTCGCTGTAGACTCCCTTAATCGCGGCACTGTACTCATTGGAAGTGGTTTAGTTGCCAATGCTTGGGTAGCATTTTGCGGTCTAGACACGACAAGTACGGCATTGTCCCTAGTCGAGTCGGTGTTCCAGTTGACTGAATCAAGTACTGTGATGCATCGCGTCTACTATGCAATGCAATCCTAAAGTTTGGGATAATAAACCAAGATCAATGTATTACAACATGAATGTGAAAAAGAAGAGGTGAAGAGAGTTATTCTTAGTGTCACCGCTAAACATAAGAAGAAAGAACTGGAGAAAAAGAAACCTGCAGCTAGTGAAACAGGAGCTGCCAAGAAGGTGGTTGTCAATAATCAGTCCCCGATTTCCGCAGCTGGTGCTGCTGTAAAAAAGGAGAAGGAGAGGAAGGAACTCTCCTTCTCAAGCTCTCAAATCCAGTGCGCATTTTGTAAGCTCAACAGCGAGTGCTCTCACTCCCGGAAGATTGTCGATACTACTCCATCAAGCCTATCGCTCAGGCCGGAATTCGCCTTTTCTACGATAGGAGTCCCGATGAGAATGAGGTCCTCGTTGAGGCTGTTCAGCCCCATGGTTTTGTGGTTTCAACTTGAGCTGGATAGGGGGGTTCCAAAGCAGGTGACGGTGGCGCCGGTGGTGCGGATGATCAAGGATCGAGTGGTATCGGTGGACTTACCGAAGAAACCACCTCCGATCAACTCATCCACGCGTCCACGGTGGGTGCTCCGTTAAAAAACGATGATGAGGAAGATGAAGACTCAGGACACCACATTGGTGGTAACGGAAAGCGAACCCGATCCTAAAGGGCGTCTATCCAGATTTTCACTGATGCGTGATAAACCTTGGCAGAGCGAAAGAAGTACATGTATTACGGATGGGAGAATGGTGTTGACCCCAAACAGAAGGGTTAGAATTGACGTCTACATTCGGCGTCTATCCCAGTCCCGTGTTCTGCAGGTAAGCTATTAACAACTGAAGCGACAGTAGCCGTGAACCATCTGGAAATTTCATTACAGACTTCCCCTACCGTATCTGCATAAAGCTGTTGATAAAGTGAATTCGCGATAGCTCCTCCATTCCCTTACTAGCTGGATGGAGCCTGGTCAGCTCTTAATTGGGAACAACGCAGCAAGGAGGAACAGACGAGAAACTCTTGCCTTATGGACCCGTATTAAATCTCATCCTTCCTTACATAAATCTGCTTTTAGGCCAGTGCTCCTGCATCTATCTATGGACACGCATAATGGCCAGCACAATTCTCTGTTCTTGAACCCATTTCTCAAACCGGATAAAACTCTAAATGCACTGAATCGCCAAGAGTGATCAGTGACGTTGCGGTCAAGTATCTCCTCGGTTGCATGGAAATTTGATGACTGGCACAGTCGGATCAGGGGTGCTTCTCTACAGCACCGACTACGTTGTGATGGCTGACGCGGGAGGTTGACGACGCTCAAAAGAGGGGAGGGGCTATGCAATACGATGGTTGTTTATCTCTCGGTATTGGCGAGGAGCCACTTTCGACGTGGCCTTTGTACAACACCGAATGGACTGGCTTTCGGGCCATGCCAGTAGCCTAAACACCTTCTCTGTGCTGAATGTATATACTCTGCCCGAGTATTATGTCTTCTTTCGTCTTCAAGGCAGTCTCGGGACGCTGCATTTCTAAACTTGTGCACATATCCCATTTACTCTAAGAAATAAACAAGTCGAAACTAAATTAGCCTGGGTATTCTAGTGGTATGAAGGTCAGGGAAGGGGAGAAAAACGAGCCTCGTCCTACACTTTATCAGTTAGAGTCAATGGGAATAGGTATAGGTATAGGGAAATCGGGAGACTGAACCCTTCCCTGCATCGAGAAAATCTGACCACTCTATCCTTATACGGGCACGTATTTTTTCTTAAACGGTGATTTGTTGTGTACGAGGCTGTGCATTGCATTTTTTGGTTAGGTGACTTTCATCGCCTGGAATGCTCCTTTGGTCAAAGAATTATGGAACTTGTGGTGTTCTCCAGGTGGTGAAATAGAACCGTTTAACTGTACCAGGTCCCCTTCCCAGTAGACATCAGTCTCATCGAGTATGACGTAATATTTCTTTTGCCTGATACTTGACTGTCGAGAGTGTTTCATTGTGGTGTTGAACATTTGTCTTACCACTTCTTTCAGTTTCAGTACGTGCTCAGAGACACCGTGGGTTCTACTTTCGGACTTGATAAGAAAATAGCAGTTGACACTCTCATTTTGCTACCTGTGAGCATCTTCAATGGTGAAACGCCAGCTGATGTTTGGACTGCAGCCCCGTGAGCAAAGAAGCACCGTCCAAAGCTTAAATCTCAGACTTCCGGTTGCGCGGCTCAAATGAAAGCCTTCAGTAGTCCAATCAGAGGGCGACTAGTCCTTTTCACCTCTATCACCTTGCGATTATTCGAGTGTGGTACAGTCTTGTAAATCCAAAAGCTCTTGGAGTGATGAGTAAAAAGGCCGCTTCTAAACTTAGCGCCTTGATAGCTGTACACCTTTTCGAGAGCTCCGTATCGGCGAATCCAGTGATTGAATAGAACCGATGCGATCGCTTCATTGTCTTGTGCCTTTATGAGTTTTGCCATTGCTGCTTTTGAGAAGTAGTCTGCCAAAACATAGAACATATCAACTGCCTCCCTCAATAGGTGATAGAGGACCCATAATGACAATACCTACCCCTTCCCCTGGGAATGCTATCGGCATGAATTGGTGTGGTCCGATCGTTTCGAAGCTGCTGTGCGTATGTCCGGGGTGGTTGCAGGCCACAGGTACCTTTCGCTCGACGTCTTAGGTATACTTTCACTCACATACGCTAAGGAGACCCAACATCTCGGTATAATAAACCTCATATTCTAGAGATAGTTTCATCCATTCCTGCTCCATACGTCTGACCGCCTTGTTCGACGAGGTCATCTCTTTCCCTGTGGATTCGTAGATGGATGTGAGGAACCCCTTGTATACCAGAGCTGTGTCAGGACTGGTAATCTGCCGATTTCTTCAATGATGTTTAGTGGATTCGCATAAATATATGGTGTTTACTACAGCAACTGTTTCTGCTGGCACTGACCTGAGAGGCAAGACCTCTACATCATCACGTGTATTACCCTTCCTGCACTGCACTGCACAGTGAAATAGTACTGTTGCAGCTTTGTGTACCAATGTGCAGCCTAACCAGGCTGTCCCTTTCATTATTTTTAGTCTGGTCAGCGCCTGATGACCAGTTCTTACTATAACCTTCCTCGCCATCAGGTCTCGTCCGAAATGTCTAACTATTGTGTAGATAGCGAACAGTTCCAGTTGGGTTGCACTTTTCCGCCTCATTTGTTTGTTCAGATTGAAACCCACAAAATTGACGAAATTTTTACTTCCATCTTTACCCTCTTGTGAGAATACACCGCCTACAGCTGCATCCCTGTCATCAGTATTCAGTACGAATGGTAGGGTGTTCAATTCGAAAGTTAGGTAATTTTAGAATCGGCACGGAGAAGAGCATTTGCTTCAGTTTCTCAAACATTTCATCAGGGTATTTCTCCCAATTAAATTTTTTTCCGCCACTTCACGCAGTGCCCTTGTGATCTTAGCAAAGCTTTTGACAAAACGGTTGTAGTAAGCTGGTAAGCCTGGGAAACTACTGACCTCCATCTGATCTGTTGGAGTTGGGCAGCCCTCATTTGCCATCCCGTCTGACTAAACATTGTGTCTCAAGCATTGCGGAAATCGGCACTTCTTTGGCTTCAGGGTCAAAACTACAACTCGTAGACGGTCCAGCACCAATCTCGATTTGGATTTATGCTCTCGAATACCTCCTTCGAAGACGAAAATGTCATCTAGGTGTATATTTACACTCTTTCGGGAATACTTTGATTAGTGTGCTTTGCATAAGTCGTTGGGAAGTGGTAGCCGCGTCACAGAGTCCGAAATGCATTGTTTGCTGTCCATAAAGCCCATTTGATAATTAAAAAACTCTTCTCCCTCCTTTTCTGCCACTTCTGCCTGGCAGCATTCCCATTTTGAGTCTACGGTGGAGAACCACCTTGACCCGTGCAGGGTGTCTAACGAAATCCTTTATGTGGGATAGTGAGAAAGAATCCTCTTTGTCACTGCACTCAACCTTCTGTGGTTGACGCACAGCCGTGGAATCCCACCCTTCTTGTTTTTGCTAAAGCAATCGGTGAGGTCTATGGCGACTTTGATGGATTTGGGGCCTCGTCTTTGCTCATTCCTTCAACCAGACTGTTTACTTCTACCAGCAGAATGGGTGGTATGCTTCTCGGTTTAGTTTCGTCAGTGTCTCTCGGTGATTTTATGATGTTTGTTCTTTCGGGCTTAACTTCTTGCCACAAGAATATACTTGCGGACTTAACCAGTTGCTCCCAAAGTTCTTTCCTCTCAGTGTCGGTCACATGGGTAAACCACTGGCACAGGTCATCTCGGTTGTTCATGTTTGTTCAAAAACCACGTTTTAAGCCAATTCTGAACATACAGGAAATTTTACCGTCCAGGTTTCCCTGTCTATGTTGAACTTTGACAACGTCCCCATTCTACTACCATTTCCTTTCCATCTGCTGAATGTAGTCCGCCAGAGGGAGAAATGAATCTGATCTTTCATGTAGGGTTGGGTAAGCCTTAAAGTTTACCATTGATCATGCCGGTAGTACAAGTATTCTTCCAACTCGCCACTCGGTTTATGTTCAATGAATCCTTCCCGCCTTAAATGTGTATCTAAACAAACATGCATTGCATAGTATTCTGGCCAAAGTGGTTGTCTCACGTCCATTCTGTAAACTAGTGATGATACTATACCTATTTACTTGATTGCAACTTTTAGGCAAGAAGCAGTCATGCTACGCCAACCACGTAACGGAGAGGATGGCTTTATACCCCTAAGAAGATTCCACCTCCAACCTCTTAAAAGCCTTAATCTGTAAAACCCCATATCACTGATCAAATGAAGATGTCATCCACCACACCTCCTCATATTCCAAGGGCACGAAACCGGAAGGGTAGGAGAGGAACACTGAACCCGTCGCAATAAATTCACTTTTACACCAATGTGTACAAGTATGCCCCCGGGATTACCTTCAAAGCTATGTTGGTACCAGCAGCATACGAAAGGCAATTCTAGAGGCGACACTGTGTGCAAAACCCA